TTACACTAATCTGGCATGTCTGACGTTTACAGAACTTTATGATTCACTAATCCAGTGTACAAAAGGTCATATACCATTTCTGTATATATGTGGTGGTTTTAAATGTGCCCTATGCTAATACACAGAGAACTCTCATACTCATATCCACTACAAATCTTCTCACGTTCGTCAAACTATATAAATAAATCTTAACAAAACATAGAGGGCGCCCTAACACAAATGATTATTATTATTAGCAGTTATCGCACCATTCACTTCTGAACACTGTAATAAAATGTCAATACCTGATTGGATTGCGCTAAGTAACAAAAGTGACAAGAATTTATCGGTATATTAATATTCATACAGAAACAACGGACAGACTGCTATGTTAATATAGTCCTGATTGTTTACAGTACAAAAACAAGATTTTAATAGTATCTCTCATCACGCCTCACTGAAGCATTTTACTTCTATTGTTATCAGTTTGCACTGTAGAGGGAAAAATTGTTTCTGGTCCAAGCACAAACACCGTAAAACACACTGTGCATTTATTTCATTTATTTACTATTGTAAACACTCAATGATGTTACAGCTAAACACTAGCACAAGTGTAAGCATTTTAAACTTTTCATAAATCATATTGATTCAAATTTTGAAATAAATATGACTGTTTATTGATTTAAGCTTAAAATTGTAACCACAACCACTGCCATGGTAACAACCAGACTTCATGGAAGGTTAAATAAATGAATAATGGTGATGAAATTTGTAAAGATGTGAAGTGAATGCATCTGTATTACTATCATGCTGAAAAATGATTTTGAGGAATAAAGTCAAAGATAATTTATAGATTTCAGTACTGTAAAGTGATGTCATCAAATTTGTTTTACAAATCTAGAAAATTTCTTGCATGTTGGTACATGTAGCAGCATGCATTCTGTTGGTGTTACTATGACAATGGACTAATCACACCAAATTATGAATTCGTCATTTTCAGTTAGTAATCAATGAAGTTCAAATTTTTTTTTAGTTTTTTTGTGCTATGCAATATTGGAGGTCATGTGCTGACATTTTTAATGTGCGATTGCTGACATATAATTCATTATGCCACACAACCCTATTTAGTGCTGGCTCAAGAATTGATAGTTTTGCTTGTTGTTTTTTTCTTTCTCAAGATTTTGCTGTGTTTATCAAGATGCACTACTGACAGTACAAGTATACACAGCCTTATCGCACTTCCATAGGTCACTGGGCCCTGGAAATGTTTTGTGGAAATACATTTTAAATATCAATTGTTGTCCTACTGATTTGGAAATGGTGAACACAGAAACTTTACTTACAAAGCAGATTTTCTTGAACTACAAAAAAACATTTGATCTTGTGTGATTAGATGTGGTAGTTCGCAGTGGCAGAAATAACAACATGATGTGATCTCGCCATTTATCTGTGCTGTAAACTGAACAGTCCATATCCATATAGAATATATAGAATATATATATCAATCGATCACATTTTGATAAGGTGTAGGTATGGAAATTGTTTTTTTAGTGCCGTTTTGGGTGAGCATGAGCCGACATGTAGTAATCTCTTCTGAAGTGCATAGAGCTGTGTATAGGGACATTGTCAATAGTACATCTCAATAAGCACTTCACGTAGGCCTACGGCATGTGGTCTTATGATATACCGATGCCTGAGGTATCCTGAAATGTTTTTAATGATCAAGACATTTTTTTTTTTATTTTCATAATAAAATGTTTTCTTAGAAGAAATATCTCAGATATATACCGGTATTTGTTATGTCAACATTTTAACAATGTTTTCACAGTTATGAATTCACGATGGGATTAGAAATATACATATATATTCACTTTATCATAAGCATTGATGCATTGAAACAAAAACTGTAAACACAATAGCTGCTCTCTGATTGGTCTGACTGTCCCAACTTTATTCATAGAGCATGTTATTACTGTACATATACAAAAGGGAACTTTTTATTCCATATAATAGAAAATTATAATCACAATGAAAACTCAACTTTTCAAAATGCTTTTATTAACAATATTGATAATATATATCGATAATATGAATTTTCCATAATTTTTCAAATCTTGTATCTTGAAAAAAATTGAACAGTGGTGCCAATAATAGAAACATGAAGGTGTTGACTTTAATTCTGTCTAAACCTCCTTTTGTGTATATTCTTATGTACTAAGGAATTCCTCAGAGATTAGACAGTGAATAAAAATGTGCATGATGTTAAATTGAC